GTGTTCATGTCAAATGTTCTTCATGAGCTTGTGCAAATATATGCTCTCAATGGAACCAATGAAATCAAAGACTGCCAGTTCTTTTTACTTCTCTCTCCCTTTCTACCTCTCCAACCTCCCCTCCCACACTCATTACTCCCACATATACTCCTTTCTTCTCTCCCATGTAGGTAGAGGAAATAGTCAGGGTATCTTCAGTTTTATTGATGAGGTTTCAGTATCATACCCTTGATCACGCTATGTGAAATATTAATTTTATCAAAATGTTCGAACATTGTACAGAATAACATGTTGAAACAATCTTGGCAGTTTTTAAAAATGAGCTCACATATTCTTAGGAATAGAATACTGGCAGTGATGCTGTTGAGCCCCGAATACCAATCATGAGTTCAAGATTGATAATGCATACAAAATTGTCATGGTTATTGCAGTATTCAGGGTTCTCCAGAGGAACAGAACTTTTCAGTACACAAGGCTAGATTGTCTCAGCTGGTCTTCAGTGACACACCATGATCCTGAAGAAATAGCCTCTAATGCCAGTGACGGAATGGACTTTCTAGAAAGAGCAAGAGCAGGCAGGCAAAGAGAGCTAACTTCCTTCTTCGAAGTTCTTTATAAAGGCGCCAGCAGGTGTGGCCCAGATTAAAGGTGGATCTTACCACCTCAAAGGAACTAGATTAAAGGGAGATCTTCTCACCTCAAAAGATCCAGATTAGCAGGTCTTCCTACTTCAAATGATTTTTTAAAATCCTCATAGGGTACCGAGACACTTGGGTTGAAGTTCATTGCAGATGCAGTCAAGTTGACAACCAAGAGTGACCACCCCACTCCATCTCTTAATGTCAACTTAATACACAATTGTATCTTCTTTTATTTTGCTTGATGTTCAAATGAAAACAGTAACCAGGTCATAATTATGCCTAATATAACTACCCCACATATGAACAATTATATATATTTAACCAGGTCATAATTATGCCTAACATGCTGTAGCTTTCCCTCTTATAGTCACAAATGCATTATAAATTTTAGAACAGAAGGCAATATTACTTCAGGAATATTCTTTTAGTATCTCAAGCTTAAATATGATAGCCACTGACATCCTCTTTACTAGTTACATTACAGATTAAAAACATTAAGGAAAGAAAACATAAATATCTATACAAGTACATTTTTAACAAAATATGACAATAACACTTGTGTTGATTATAATTCCCATTCCTGCAACTGGTCACATGGCTTTAGCTGGTATTTATAACTACTTTCCTCTACTTCCCATTCTGTATTTCCTCCACCTTCAGTGAGCACCTCAACAAGTCTGGGTTCTTTTCCTGGAGGAGTGACACATATCTTCATTCCTGGAGTATCTGTGTCCTTTGCCATGCTACTTGGGTTTGGTTGTTTTGTTTCGCATTGACTTGAATCAGACGCATATACTAAGGACCAGCTGAGACATCCAGCTTGGTGGACTGAAAAATTATTGGACTCTTGGACTTTCTGTTGGTAGGCAGTCGTTATTGGACTAACTAGATCTGTTCCTCTAGAGAACCCTGACTAATCATAGCTTGGTACCGGAAGCAGTTCTGGAGCAACAGAACTACAAAAATAAATTATTTAAATCTATGAAGAAGGCTTTTCAATTTACCAACACCTATGGTTAAAGAAACCTGTAGAATTACTAAAACCTCTCCTAGAAGCTCAGAAAGTTCTGAAGACCTAAGGTGTAAACTATTTTCAAACTCAAGGAAACAAATGAATTTGGCTTTCTTGATTCAGCAGTTTTGAAAGACAAAGGATTGGCGATGGGCGGTGGTGGCACACGCCTTTAATCCCAGCACTGGGGAGGCAGAGGCAGGCGGATCTCTGTGAGTTGGAGGCCAGCCTTGTCTACAAGAGCCTCCAAAGCCACAGAGAAACCCTGTGTGAAAAAAAAAAAAAAATTTAAAATTTTGGGAAAAAAAAAAAAAAAAAAAAAAAAAAAAAAAAAAAAAAAAAACTTTTGACAGTTTGTGGAAAACCAAGGAAAGTGATAATGCCGGTAAGTTGCTCCTAGTATCTCTGGGAAATTGACAAAGAAGAACAACAAGCTCCATGATAAAATTAGCCAAAATTAGCCAACCTCTGCCATCTCAGTGAAAGACAGCAATGAGCTTAGTGATAAAACTGACTGACTCCAGATGAACATAAATAATCTAGAGGTTTTTAAATGTGCCCTGGAGGAGAATTTTCTCTCCAGCAGCTACAGAGCTAAAGTTGTAAATCAAATGAAGGACTCATTATAAGGTTGGCTGAATTACAGTGAAAATTCAAATCCTAGACTTAGAGGATACTGACAGTTAAAGTAAGGACATTAATTGATAAAGAATGGGATCCTATGGCCTGGAATGAGGATGTGTGGGAGGGCCCTATGGAAGATGAGAACTTTGATTACTCAGATTCTTAAGAGTTTATCTCACCTGAGGAAGTCTTTCCACTTCCTGCAGAAGATGTACTCCTACTCCCAACCCCTGAAACATTGTCTTTTCCACCTTTGGCTGAGGAAATCAGTCCTTTTAGTGCCTGCTAAGCCAGCAGTGACTACCTGTGAAGGAGATAGCAACAAGACAGTGCTAATGTACCTCAGGGCCACTAGATCTATAAGGCTGAGTGGGCTCCTAGAAGAGACATAGAAAGTATTGTCCATGAAGAGGTTCTCTGTACTACTAAATGACCCTAATGAGTTTGCCAGTTCAGTCAAGCATAGGTCTGGAAATAATTGTGGGGATGGATTTTCAAGGGTATGAGATAATGGTGGAAGGAACACAAAACTGGCTCAGGCTGAGTTTATTGATATGGAACCACTGTGAGAAAATTTAAGTTTAATATGAAATCTCACACCTCTCCAGGGTCATATCCTTAAAGAAAACACTTTCCCTCCCTCTCAGGGAGAATGTTTTGTGTGAACCCCAACTGCTTAAAGGTAGTCTGCACTCAGACAAAATAATACTGAATCAGTAGAAAGCCAGTTACTTTTTTTTGCACTGTTGATTAATTGGGGGAATATCTGTTCTTTCATCTCTGCAATTTTACTGTATATGTTTGTACCATATTCTATGAACATTGTTATTTATGGTTCTACCAATGAAAATGAGGGAAAATCCCTTTAATTTTCTATGTAACTCAAGATATTAATATGATACTTGATAAAAAGTGCTTGACTAAAATGGAAATTCAATTTGCTTCTGAAAACCTCATCATAAATAAAGTTAAGTTTTATGTAAAATATTACCAGTGAGACTAATTTTCAGCTTGGCATAGTTTTTAGCAGTTGTATAACCCTGAAAGACCTTTCACAGTTGATAAGCTTGTTTCAACATTCCATCCAGCAATATGTGAGAGCGTTTCCATGATCAACAAAACATACCCATATCCTTGTGGATCTTTACTGAGTTATGTTTAAAGTCAACTGTTTTTAATGTATCATATCTTTCAATCTTTTCAAGACCTTAAAAAATAAACCTTAACTGGATTTATGGAGACCTAAGCTGAACTCAGTTACTTCTATCCATGGAATCTGGAATTTGTTTTTCAAACTGCTCATTTACAAACACTCTTTTCAATTTTTGCTGTCTCCTTTCTTTCTAACTTCCAAGAATTAGTTACTATGACACCTATATCACTAAGGTAGCCCATATGTTGTGTCCATTTCAGAACTTTATCAGATCATTTCTTTTTAATAACTAACTTTTGAAGACATAGGCTTTGACAATCTTCACAGGACTGAAGGGTGAAGGATGCAGTTTAAGGAAAAGCAAGCATTGTTCCTAGATCTTAAGGTTAAGAAAAGTGCTCATGACCATCCCCAGGTTCAAAAGCTTGTACTAAGTCCTTGTGTATTATACTCAACAATTTTTCAGTGGGCACATTCTAAGTCCCAGAGGTTGTTTGTCACACACTACATACAGTTGTAATAGAAGTCACCAAATAACTGTCCTCATTAGGTAGATATTACAGGACTATAATGGGAATTAAACCATAGACACATCATTTTGTGGGTGAGTGAAGAAAAAGAGGGCAGGAATAAAGATGTTGCAATGTGTTCACTGCAAAATCCTGTGTGGGTCACAAAGATTGCATCATTTGGTCATTTTCTGCTGTGCCTATTCTAATAAGCATGCACAGTTTTTCCTCCTTCTGAAGTGTTTCTCTCTCATATTAACTTGCATCCACCCTTTCGAAAACTTTTACTCACTTCTTTCAGGACATTTTGACCTCTTGAATTCTTATTTACATGCCAGAGCACTGTAAACATACAATAGCATTGAAAACACACTGTGTTGTCATTCTCAACATTCATTTATTTCGTTTTTCAAACATACAACAAACTCACTGAAGGAAAGAAATATGCTGCTTTACAAGGATTTAGTGACATTGAATACCAAGCATGAAAGAAGGAAAACTCAATAAATGATTTGTGAAGCAGGTTAATGTACAAGTAGGTGCTTAGATGAAAAAAGGCCGTTTTAGGTATACTAATTAAACTTGATGATAAGAAATGAAAAGTCAATTTGAAGACTTTAAAAATATGAATTTCAAAAATAAATTAAGTCATATAAAAATAAGATTGTCATTTTTAAAATTTACTTTTCCATAAAACCTAATATAAATATTTAGAATAGCTAAAAAATTATAATTATGGCAGGTTGAAGCAATGCCATTTAAAAGGTAAAAATTTTCATTTTCTTTCAAGATTTTTACCAAAGATAAATTACTAAAACATTACTAAATTTTAGCCAACAACAAATTACTAAAAACAAATTACTAAAAGACATTTATTTATAGAAACTTGATTTTATTTAATCTTCACTCTTCTCAGACTGTTAACCCTGTAACTATGACAGCCTTGCACTCAGTTTTTGATAGAAGAATATATTTGGTCTCTGAAATTCAAAGTAGAATCTTGATTATTTATATAGAATTGTTTCTGAAAGATGATGTCCAATTTTTCAGTGATGCATAACCTATAGCAAAGATTTCAAATGCTGTGAATAAATAGAGAGAACAAAGAGATATCCACTAAAGTCTTTCCTTGGCACACTCGGACCTCCTGTGGCAGATGATGTAATATCTGACAGAGTGCTATTAGCAAAAGAAGGGCGTTTCCAGTTCACAGGTAGAGCACTGGGTGCTGAAATTACAAAGGAATTAATGCAAGCAGTTTCAACAGCACACACACTGACGGTGCTCACACTTTCCAGGTCATCTCTCTCCTTGCAGTTCAAGTTGGAGTAGCAGCTGCAACGGAAGTTTTTGGAAAAGTATTGTAGGTCGTCAAGGGTGGGATTGCCACGGATTTCATATTTTCCGCTTCTCACAAATTGAATCTGAAAATTTTTGGGGCTCAAGTGAAGATAGTTATCTGAATTCCAGTCTTTCCTCGAACATATGCCTTGATCTTGGCAAAGTGTTTGGCTACACATTTTGGCTGCAAGGGTGACGTTGATTAAGTAAGGATTCAATGTGTTCTCCAAGTAATCATGTAAGTTCAGACAAGATTTCTGTAAAATCGTAAGATAGAATGTCAAGGCATAAGTTCTATGTGACAATATACTGCATCAAGCAACGCTTAGAAAACAAAGCAATAGACACACCACATTGTAAGGAAGTACTCTTTTTCACTTTAACAAGCAATATTATTTAACCAATGATTTTCATAACATTGTTAAGTTTTGTGTGCCATTTCATAATACTGAATAATTATTTAGTTAAGACTCAATTGAGCCTTGAACTTCCACAATTATTAAAGAAATAATCAAAGGGATAGAACGGTTCATCTTTTAGGATATGGGCTTTTAATCTCCCTTGCCCTGGTAGTTAGCATCATGCTTCATAAATAACCTTCTGTATGACTTGGAAATAGCTCAAACTTTTATGTCCTATTTGGATGACCCCAAGTCTAGTTAATAATTTGATTATGCTTAAGTTTCATCACTTGCAAGATAAGGATGATTTTTAAAGCCTGATACATAAAGCTATTCTGAATGGTTAACCTAGGGCTTATGATTTCTTCACTTAACCATAAAAAATCATAGTAAGAATCACATTTGTCAGACAAATTTAAACAGCATCAAAAATGGTTCCCAAAGTGATGGTTCAAAATAAATGGGTTCAAAGTAGTATAGTTTATATAAATGTTACATAATCGTGTGTGCATGACAGTCAGTCATTTGCCAAATTTTGAGTATCGAACATATTAACACTGGTATAAATGAAAACTGAAGATAAAAGTTGATTAGGCAGCTTAGAATTCTTTGATAGAGGCATAGAATTTCAGAAAAGAGTTCTGGTTCCTAATTCGTTGCTGTCTCTTCTCTAGGAATACTCTGCTTAGAAGCTATGCACTGTGGTACCATAGTGATAGAAGCACTGAGGAAGTAGCCACTGCCTGGTTGGATTTAAGGCCCACTTTGTGAGATGGAACTTATGCCTGACACTGTTCAAGTGGCCAAGAATTTGAAACTGGATAGGACATAGATCTAGGAGAAAATCAAATACTATTGTTCTGCTGAAAGAAAATAGCAATAAAATGACTCTTAATTATCGTCTGCTATACACACTAGGTCAGTGCCGCACTTCATTATAATTAGAGAAGCTTTCTCCTGCTGTAGATGGGAAGGAATAGAGAGACCTACAATGGGACAATATGCAGAGAGTGAGTAATCTTGTAACACTCAGTCTTAAATTGGATATCTTTATTAAAACCCTCACCACAGGGCTCAGGGAATTATGTGAAAGAAGAAGCAGAAAGATTGTAAAAGCCAGAGGAGATGAATGATGCCAAGGAAAGAGTATCTTTCAGACATAGCATGACTTACACACATAGGAACTCACAGAAACTGCTGCAGCATATATAGGACTTACACAGATCCAAACAAGACAGAGAAGGCGAACAGACAGGTGTTCCCATGCCTAACCAAGAAGCTATCTCCAACTGACAACCACTCACAAAGAAAACTTAGTTTCTCCAAGGGGGTCTCATCAGCTCCATGCCCTGTTGGAGATGACACAAAATAAATTCAAAGGTATTAGGGGGTTCTTTTTTGTCCAGATTGCTTTGTCTGGGCATTTTTTTTAAACCTTACTAGTCTTTTGCTTGGATGTTACTATTTCCATTTTTAGTTGTTATAGATTTGTTGTGAGTGTGTGTGCATGCACATACATACATTTGAGTTTCTGTGCTCCTTATTAGGTTATTTTTGTTTTGTTTTATCCTTGTTTGTCTGTTTTATTTACCTGTTTGCTTTCTTAACAGAAAAAGAAGGCATAGAGTTGGAAGAGTAAGGTAGTAAGGAATATATGGGAGGAGATGATGATCCAAATTTATTGTATTTTTTCAATAAAAAATTAAAATAGGAAGAAAAGAGCAGGAGAGGAGGAAGAAGACGAGGAGGAGGAGGAAGAAGATGACGATGGTGAAGAAGATGAAGAAGAAGAACAAGAAGAAGAAGAAGAAGAAGAAGAAGAAGAAGAAGAAGAAGAAGAAGAAGAAGAAGAAGAAGGAAGAAGAGAGGAAGAGGAGGAAGAGGAAGCTCCCCATTAAGATATTACTGAAACTCTAGCCCATAAACTAATCCCTACAGTGAACAGCTTTCGAACTGACTATCTGGATTGTCCTGGTAGAAACGGTTTATTATCTCTTCCCCAATTTCAGCCCATCTCCTAAATGATTTAATATCCATATCCAAAGGAGGAATGTTATAAGAGACATAAAGGACATTGAGGAAGAAACCTTCCCTGTAGCCCCGGGCAAAGCCATAGCATTCTGATCTACTCCAAAGAATCCATATTACATACTATTTTTTCTTCCTTTAAAAGTTACTACAAGGCAGGCCTCATGCTCAGGAATAGTTGGCCAATACAAATGAATGCCAAAGTTTGAGTGTGTGTGTGTGTGTGTGTGTGTGTGTGTGTGTGTGTGTGTGTGTGTGTGTGTGTGTCTTTCTGTGGTTTGGGCGATTGCTATTTGTTTAATTTTGTTTTGTTTTGATATTCTTTGTATCTTATTGGTTTTTAGCTTGTTAGTTTTGATACTTTTTGCTTTATGTTTTTAGTTTGAGAGAGGCATGGGAAGGAGAGAGAGGGAGGGGAAAGGGGAGAAGGAGAAATTAAGAAAAAGTATAAAGTTGAGTGGGTAAGGAAGTGAGAAGAATCTGGGAGAAATTAGGGGAGGAAAAACTCTGCCAGCTTTCTTTAATGCTGTATTTTCAGTGCCAAATACATGAAAAGCTATACCAAGTTGAAGTAATATTGCAGATGCTTTCAGAGATAAATTTAGGCAAGAGGCAGATTAGTGGAATGAGTCTGATTTGAAGAACACCTTATATGTACTCTATTAACAGATTTAAACTGGCTTTATACATATATCCACATTGGTCAACTTCAAGTTACCAATATAACAGTACTGACACAGATTTGGGAACTGGGCATACCACCATTACACAGTGCAGATGTGTGATGTGGGTAGCATCCATTCTAGGATGTATCCATCCATATATATCTAACAGCTAGGCCTACCAAACCTCATGCACAAAAGTGAATATGAAGTAATAACTAGTATTTTTGAGAATTAGTTATTATTTTTATTATAAAAATGTATTGGTATCTATTTTGTGCTGTTTTCAACATTAATTTTATATTTTTATTTATTATACTATATCTTCCTATCATTTTGTTTTTTAACAATGGCTATGTTTAGCAACTCACAGATTCCTGAACAACAAACAATCAAGTCTCAAAAAGTAAGACTGGTAGAATTGGCTTCATCATATCATTGGATCTGATAAAGTGGAGGTAAACTTTTTTTTTTTTTACTTCTTTTAGAATAGTTGTAGCAACTGCCAACAAACACAACTCTGAAATCACATGTTCTCAGAAATCAGAGGAAACATGACATGTGATCCATGAGAAAACAGATCAGAAATAATGCATAACAAAGATAAAATTAAACTGATCATGGATTGGGGAAATCTAGCAGAAATGTATTGAAAGAGTCCACAAGAGATAATGTTAAGACAATGCCTTAAGTCAAAAACAGTGACACGGAAATTGAAGGCTATCTCTTAATGGATAATACTGAAGAACCTTGGGAGACAAAGCAGAACATCAATCTATGCCTGTTTTTCATTCACAAACATAACAGTGGCCTGTGTTCCTTCGAATAGAGGAAGAAACAAAATCTTATTACAAGTCAGTAACTAAGACCTATATCCACTTGCATAAGACAGGAAATTACTTCTTGTCCCAAACAACCAAACACACAAGGTGCTGTACTGAGACTGTAGAGAAGGCTAGCCTTCTCTTAGGATGTGACAGCTGAGAATGCCTTCGTCCTACCCATGGTATACCCATCTAAACAAGAGAGGCTATAGGGATAAGACTTCCAGGGACACTCTGCTGCTGACCCTTACGTCCTCCGGATTGATAGGAGACTTGCACCACTCTCTCATCATGTTATAACCTGTACTGTTTGTCTCAGTAACTATTGTTTATATACATGACAAAAGGAAGGGGTAGATAGAGCATTCTTGGGACCTCTGCTCACTGTGAGGAAACCATGCTATTTGAGGAACTATACAGGTGAAAGTCCAGTGACTTACCATCTACTCTCTTTCCTAATAAACACACAATAAACAAACACACACACTCACACACACACACACACACACACACACACACACACACACACACACACACACACTATCCTTATCTTTTTCTGAGAGCCAAAATTGCAAAACACTCTGCATGACCCTACTCCAACACCATGATCCTACATTTCCCATTTTATCCATTATTCATTAGGTCTATTGTGTCAGTGGGAGGGGAAAATGGAATATCTTCATCTAGTTTCTACTAATTCAACTTACCATACTTCGTACTAAACCAAGAGTTCCCCACATTACCATTCCAGAGGCACCCAGAGCAACGGTTTCACCAATTGTATTCACAAGGTCTTTCTGGAAAATGACAGGAAGAGTTATCCCATAGGAATGAAGTGAAAGTATTAAACAGTCAACAGTAATACCAAAGCTAAACATGAGCACTCCAACCATTGAAACATTTCTATTTAATTGCACTCTTTACACAGCATTTTTTTTTACTGTTTTAAAATAGAAACCATCGTTACTTTAATGACTTCTGCTGGCAAAAGAACACATCCATTCAATAAAAAAGAGAACCAGTTAAGGTATAGTCTATACTACATGGAATTTTTCATAGATACTGGTGTTTTCTAGGATTAATATGAGGATTCAGGTGCTGGGCTGAGGAGATAGATTGGTTGGTAAAGTGAATTCTGTGCAATTACCCAAACTCTACCCCTCAGACCAATGCTTTCCAAACAGGAATGGGGCATAGAGGTGCAAGCTTGCAAGCTTGCCAACCAAGTGTTGGGAGGTAGGCAGGCAGATCCCTGGGGGCTCACTGGCCAGGTATACTAACCTTGCAAACTTCAAGTCACAGCAAGAGGGGATGATTCAAAACTCAAGATAGACATTAGGAATGACAGCCAAAGTGAATGAAGCCTTACCAACACCAGAAATTTTACTTTTGATTTTTAAAAGAATTCAATTGTCCTCATTTTGCCTCCATTACAGACAGCATTTTCTTGATGTATATACTCGTAAATTTTTACATTAAGGATCAAATTTCACCCTTTAAAAACATAAAATTCCATCAGCACCATTTCTAAAACTGATCTCTTAGCTGCCATGCTTTGACTTGCTTACCTGACTCAGGAACCGATAAGTTAGATCACCAAACACAATTCGAGAATATACAAAAATGGGAACTGGGCTCTGAGGGTCCTTTGCTTTAGATACCCTAATGGCCTCTTGCACACGATTTCTGACATAGAGCACTGCCTGCTGAGATGACTTCAAACCAGTCTTCAAATAGATAGATGGGTAAAGGGCTGTGCTTTGCTTCCATATCCAGAACAGACCATCATTTCTTCTCTTTTCTGTATCAGGGCACTCTCCGTTATAATTCAAGTCATGAAATTTATTGTTGTAACAATCGGGAAAAAGATAAAAACCCCATAAGTGATTTGGCCGAAGTGATTTCCCCAATTTTAAAGTCCCTTCCATAAAACTTCTTGCTGCCTGTTCAAAATCTTTTTTGGCCCTCCTGGTAGCTTCTGTTATATTAAGTTGTTTGTTTTGTTGCTTGACTAATTCAATAGACTTATGCTTGTAAATATCCTTGGGTTTCCAGTTTCTTGACCAGGTGGGTCTCCAGTCTTCCCAGTCAATGACAGCCAAGCCCACGTTGTCTATTGGCATGTAATACTGGATGTCATCCCTAGCTTTTTCCAAATGACTTTTTAGAGATCCCAACTGGGGTACCCCTCCATGAATACTTTTATTTGAATCATCTATATGAGGATAGAAGCCAAGTCGATCAGTATAAAATATTGTGATAGGCTGACCCGTGGCAGATTTTTTGGGGCTTCCTACTAAAGAAAACAAACTAAGATCAAGTGGCTCATTAAATTTTGTGAGACAAGATTCAGTTGGGGCATTCCAGACCCAAAGGAAAGGCACGTTAGGAATAAGTGGAGGTGCTCTAAAATCCCCAGTCAAGCAACATGGAAGCAAAAGGAAGACTAATACTGTCTGGGGTGCTCCATTAGACTCAAGGAAGCTCCCAGAAAAGGAGTGCTTCAAACAGAGCACTCGCATTGCAGAGAATTAATTAAGATGCAAACACTTCTTTCTTCTTACACACTTTGGTCTCTCCAATATTTGGTGCAAACGCTGAGAAAGATAGTGACATGAGGCCACTCTGAGGGGTGACAATTGGATGACTGCTTTATAAGAACTATTATTCTTCTTGCATCATGTTTCAGGAATGTTTTGTGACAAGTTGTATAATCTATAACTAAAAGAAGAATAAAAAACACAGTAAATACAAAATGCATTACAGCTGGACTTGAAGGTTGACTAAGTCCTCAACATTGATTACAAGTGCTTTAGTTCAATTTTAGAAGATTAAATCTTCTACTGTGTTTAAATCAATAAGGTTTTTTTCTCTTATATATGATACAAATCCTGTTGCAGCTAAATTGGCAAATCTCACCAAATCACATATTATTCCATAGATAACTACATGTACCTATGTTTCCTTTCTCCTTCTTATAGGCATAAGATGCCTTAGGAAATACAAGTTAAAAGTAAATAAACTCTTGCTTAGCTGTGTTGAAAGATCACTCTAGTCACTATATGCCAAAATCTGAAAACAACTTCTCACACAGTTGAAAACTTTTACCTTTTCATGATTCATTTGTATATGTGATGGTAGGGATAATATTAGGAACTAAACCCAAGGTCTTGCACATGAAACAAATACTGTTACTTCTAAGTTACATTCCCGGTTAGTGTTTGTTTGAACAAGGTCTTATGAAGCTCGCCTAGCTAACCTGGATGGTTCTTTCTCAGCCTCCCAAGCATTTGGCATTATGGCTGTGTGCCACAATTCTGGCTCATAAATCTTTTCATTTCCCCCACCTGTACTTGTTTTCTTAGCAACAACAATGGAGAAAGCAAAAGGCAGTTTTTGTGTTTGCAATAAATTAAACAAGTTCAAAAGTACCTCCAAACACTACTGGACCAAAGCTTACAGCCATGTAACTCATGGTTAAAATTAACAAACTGCTTTGTCTTTACAAAACGAATTTACTCTAGCCTACCGTTAATAAAAACAAGATATGTGTTTTGGACATTAAATAGTGTTTGATAAGCAAAATTGTGTAGGTAAACTGAAAGATGATTAGTAAATTTGTCATATAATGAATGAACCAAGAACCAGAGATTAAATTGCATGGCTTAGTATTTGCAAAAATTACCACTTCTACCATATCTTTAAAGGTTTTACTTTAGGAGAAAAATATGGCCTGTCTATACTCACATTGCTAGTATACTTCTGTGTGAGGGTAGAGTGATAATTATATCCTTCTTGATTGAAATGTTGTCCTTATCATAGCAAATTATTCAGTCATTCTCATTGTTGAAAAATAACCTCAAAAGAATGGCATAGTCAAAATAAAAGGAAATCTTAACCTTTGTTAATCTCATGTTTTAAAAATAATGAATTATACCCTTGTGTTAAGAACAGGTGAAGTCCCCAAGAAGTTCGTTGTTTAAACTCTTACAGACCTCCACCATGTAGGACGTGGAGAATTTTAATCTAAAGTAAAGGAGAACAAAATAATCCTTTTCAAATATCAAGTGTCAATATCAATGACTGAATGGTAGATGGGACAAGGAAACTGAATAAAAGTTTTTGTTCGTTGGTTGGTTTTCTTTTTTATTGAGTAGTTACATTTATTTTTTTCTATTTTTTTACTTAAATTAGAAACAAGCTTGTTTTACATGTCAATCCCAGTTCCCTCTCCCTCCCCTCCTCACCTGCCCTCCACAACCCCCTATCCCATCTCTTTCTGCTCCCTAGAGAGGGTGAGGCTTTCCATGGGGGAATCTTCAAAGTCTGTCATATCATTTGGAGCAGGCCCTAGGCCCTCCCACTTCTGTCTAGGCTGAGAGAGTATCTATCGCTCTATGAGGAATGGGCTCCCAAAGTCCATTCGTGTACTAAGCATAAATACTGATCCCCTCCCAGAGGCCCCATAGATTGCCAAGGCCTCCTCACTGACACCCACATTCAGGAGGTCTGGGTCAGTCTTATGCTGGTTTCCCAGCTATCAGTCTGGGGTCCATGAGATCCCCCTTATTCAGGTAAGCTGTTTCTGTGGGTTTCTCCAGCCTGGTCTTGATCCCTTTGCTCATCACTCCTCCCTCTCTGTAACTGGATTCCAGGAGTTCAGCTGAATAAAAGTTCAGCTTCTGGGAATGCCAGCTGTGAAAGACACTAAACCTTTGTCTTTCTGGGTCTGGTTCACATCACTCAATATAATATTTTCTTGGTCCATCCATAACACCAGTAGCACAGTCACTGAGATGGACAATTAATAAATGGGCCCTCCTGAAACTGAAAAGCTTCTATAAGGCAATGGACATAGTCAACAAGACAAAATGGCAGCCTACACAATGGGAAAAGTTCTTCATCACACATCTGACAGAGGACTAATATCCAAAATATATAAAGAACTAAAGGAACTAGACACCCAAATACCAAATAATCCAATTTAAAAATGGGGTACAGATTTAAACAGAGAATTCTCAACAGAAGAATCTTGAATGGCTAAGATACACTTAAAGAACACCCTGAGCTAAGTTCAACACCCTTAGCTATCAGGGCAATGAAAATCAAAATGACTCTGAGATATGTCAGAATGGCCAAGATCAAAAATGTTGATCAGCCTATATTGGGGAGGATGTGCAGTGAGGGGAACACTCCTCCACTGCTGGTTGTAGTGTAAACAAGTACAGCCACTTTGGAAATCAGTATGGTGGTTTCTCAGAAATAGGGAATCATTCTACATCAAAACCCAGCGATACCACTTTTGGGTACATATCCAAAGGATGCTCAATCATACCACAAGGACACTTACTCAACTATGTTCATAGCAGCATTATTCATAATAGAACCTGGAAATAACCCAGATGCCCCGTAGCTGAAGAATGGATAAAGAAAATGTGGTATATCTACACAATAAACTATTATTCAACAGAAAAAAAAAAACAATGACATAACAAAATTTCAGGTAAATGGATGGAACTAGATAAATGTCATCCTGAGTGAGGTAATCCAGACCCAGAAAGACAATCATGGTATGTACTCATAAATGGATATTAGATGTAAAACAAAGGATAACTAGGCTTCAATCCTCAGCCCCAGAGAAACTAGATAACAAGGAGTACCTTAAGAGGGACACATGGATCTCCCTGGGAAGAGGAAATACATGAAATGCCTTGGATAAACTGGGAATGGGGGTGTAGAGAGGAGGGGTTAGGAGGATGGGAACATGAGGAATCAGGATGATCTAGTTGGGGGTGGGACAGAGGGGGAGAATAATGAAAGAAATATCTTGATAGAGGGAACCATTATGGAGTTAGGGAGAAATCTGGTGCCAGGGGAACTCCCAGGAGCCCACAAGGATTATCCCAACTAAGACTCCTAGCAATAACCGAGAGGGTGTCTGAACTGGCCTTCCCCTGTAATCAGATTGGTGACTACCTTAATTGTCATCATAGAGCCTTCATCCAGTAACTGATAGAAGCAGATGAGGAGATCCACAGCCAAGCACTGGACCAAGCTCTGGGAGTCCAGTTGAAGAGAGAGAGAAGGAATTATCTGATCAAAGAGTGGGTATAATCAAGATCATGATGGGGAAAACCACAGAGACAGCTGACCTGAACTTGTAGGAGCTCCAGGACTCTGGATTGACAGCTGGGGAGCTGGCGTGGGACTGACCTAGGTCCTCTGCATCTGAGTGACAGTTTCGTAGCTTGGTCTTTTGTGGGTCCCTAGCAGTGGGACCAGGACCCGTCATTGATGCATGAGCTGGCTCTTTGGAACCTATTCACTATGTTAGGATGCCTTGTTCAGCCTTGATGCAGTGTATTCTTAAAAGCTGAGGAAGAGCCAGGTCATTGTGGGTATACCTGGAATCCAGCCAGAGACTGGGGGGGGGGGGGGGGGGGGGGGGGGGGGGTAGAGGGGAGTGGGGGGGATGGGAAGAGAGGACAGAGAAGAAACTGTGGTTGGTATGTAAAATAAATAAAAATATTGAATACAAAACAATTTCATTTTTCTTTACAACTGAGTAGTATTCTTTTCCGTATACTAACCACAGTTTTATTATCCATTTATGTGTTGAAAGACATTTAGGTTGTTTCCATTTCTTACCTATTGTTAACAGAGTGGCTTGTAACATTGTTGAGCAAATATCTGTGAAGTAGGATGCCAAATCCTTGGATCATATGTCAAAGAGTGGTATAGCTGGGTCATATGGTAGATTAGTTTTAGTTTTTTGAAGATTCCCCATTCTGATATTCAGAGGGTATGAACTGAATTCCATGCCCACTAACATTGAATGAGAGTTCCTCTTTTTCCACACTCTTACCAGCATTAATTTTCTGCTGTTGACTTTAGCCATTGTGACTTGAGTGAAATGGAATCTTAGATGTTTTCATTTGTATTTTCCTAGTTACTAAGTCATCCCAAAAACAAACATATGATATAAATGCAGCTCTTTGTTTCCTCTCAGTGCTTGGGGTGGGTTCCTAATGCAAAAGACACTGGACACATAGGGTACAGGACTCATGCTTGGAGCTAGATCTGACCTGAAAGCCCCTTCCACACACTTTACCTTCCATGGTTCCAAATAATGTTATGCAAGCTGTCAAGGGAAAAAAGCAATTAGTATTCCTGTCCAGGTGCACACTTACAAATCATGACAAGATTCAGCATGGCAAGATATACAGGAAGGTGCAATAAGTGGCATTCACATGTCAGTGCCAGCCAACAGGTGTCAAATTGGATGCAAGATCCACTCAATAGGAGGGAAATCATTCCTAGTACTGGAAACCTAGCCAGCCTCCCTAAGGCTGGTGAGGATACAAACATTAGAAGAACCTACTATTGCCATTTTTCTAGACAAATATAATTCTTTACCACATTCTAGATCTTGTCATTATACCCACAGATCAAGGGAGCTTCCATCCTTCAGCAAAGAAATCTCTTTACAGAAAATAGAGACCATCACAGAAACCCACAAATG